TTGAATTTTTGTATTGATTCATAATTAACAATAAGAGAAGTTACTTGGTGGTGAATTTATAATTTTGCAATAACAAATATCATGGAGGAATTGAAATTTTAATTAAATAGAACATAAGATATTGAAAAAAATGATTTATGCAGACCATGGTTCGCAATAACAAGAACTAATATTAGAATAGTACATAATAATACAATGCTAAATGCAACCAAGGAAAGATATATTTTAATCACTAATAGACGAAATTTACAAGATTAATAAAAAATTAAAAACTAATAGGGAAAACAAGAAGCCGTCTTGATTCTTTTGTTTATAAAGGTGAAGTCGGGCCCATCCTGCGGGCCCACCAAGACTTCTATGAAATTAGAATAGTCCAAGGAGTTCATTATTTTCTCATAGATAGTGAAGAGAGAGTTATGGGTTGTGTTTGAGTAAAGTGTGAATCCATTTAATACCTATATTTTTTTGAGGTTTTGCCATTCTAAATCCATTTATTACCTATTTATTGAACACAACTAACCCATATAATGACTCAATTATCAATATAGGGTTAAGAAATTGGTTTATAGCCCATTTTGACAGGTCTACTCACAAATACATAGATTGGACATTGGGATTGTAGACTCGAGTTGGACTTCCAATACTTAAATTAATAATAAAAGTTAGAGTCGTAACTAATATATAATAGGATTAAGCGCGACATACTTGGAAAGGGTTGCCTTTGATCGTGTCTTGATTATATTTGGTTAGGTATGTGGTTGGGTGCGACCCCATCTCAACGCGAAACATTTCTCGAAGAAGGGGTTTTCTTATAATTAAGTATACTCCTAAGTAGGCCTCACATGCCTCTCTCTCGATACGTGGGAGTACTTTTAGATTTGGCTAAGTCCCAACTTGCGTAGGGGAAACACATGCTAGCCCCGTCGATCTAGTAGACAATAGGCCGATTAACTCAACTCGACGTTTCCAACATCTAGTCGGACTTCATGTTGGCTTGGTCCAATCAGCCGCTGACATTCTAGTCTGGACAACCTTGTCTAGGGGTGAGCATGGTTCCAGGTTCTATCCTGGACATGAGAATCTGACCGATGGAAATCTGTAATTTTTAGGTTCCAAGGTATGCAGGGTAGGTTCCAGGTTTAAAAAATTAAGGAACCTGTTTCGGCGAGTATGTTCCAGGTTCTAGATAGATGAAACTTGGAACCTAGAACCTGAAACCTAAATAAGTTTTTCGTGTTTTTTCTTGGTCATATCTTCACGTGATCCTGTGGTATTTCATGGCGTTAAATGATGAGTGTATAATCTGGAATCACTAGTTCGAGCTTTCATTTTATGACTTATTAATGTTTCATATTCTTTGTGTATTTAAATATAAGTTATGGTCAGTGGATCAAGGCAGCAAGTGGTGGTTATTAAAGGTAATGATACATTACAATTGTTCAATTTATAATATAGGAGGAATCTGGGTAGACCTTGGAACCAACTTGAAACCTGTGATAGTGTAAGTTCCAAATTCCAAAAAATGAGGAACCTATTCTCATGGGCAATTCTAGGTAAAACCTGTAAGGAACATGGAACCACTCACCCCTAGTATCGATTCATGCAATGATTTCTCATTTTAATTGTATTTATTTGAATCGTAATGCTAGAAAAACTAGTATTTTGTATTCTTTTTAGTGAATGACATACTTGTTCAGTATTGTTGTGTTCATTTTTCGTTTTGTTTAACTAAAAATGAAATAAAAAAAGAACCTGTTAGACCCTAGAACTTACCCTGGAACCTATGACAGGGTAGGTTTTAGGTTTTAAATTCCAACGGGTAGGTTTCACGTTCCAAAAAATGAGGAATCTGTACTTGAAAATAGGTTACAGGTTCTAGGTGGAACTTGTAAGGAACCTGGAACTTATAAGGGACCTGGAACCGCTTACCCCTAACCTTGTCTAGTCGGCAGATGAGTCAATCTTGATCCGAACACTAGCCTTCCAGTCAATGGGTTGATTATGCTACTCAAGCACGTGCCAATTTTCCATATGAATACTAGGAAAATGACATTAGAAGTGTCATAACTATCATACGACACTCACAATAGTGCCAAAATTTTTCAATGGATCACCTAAGTGCCAAATTGAAGAAAAAACGATCAATTAAGTGTCTCCGGTGCCAAATTCCGGTCAAAAGTCCTATGATGTTTATTCCAATGTGGCTTTTTTAATTAACTATATATAATTACTGACTTTGTGATGAAAAAGAAAGAGAAAAAGCCACCAAAAATCCAAAACTTGTATTCATGTGATATATTTATCCCAAATTTGTACCTTCGTGTGACACATATACCTTAAAATTTGGGGTAAATGGGTCGTATGAGTACAAGTTTAGGATTTTTGATGTCACAAATAAATAATTTTGGGTAAATATGTCACATGGGATAAGATTGGAGTTTTTGGTGTCAAAAAAAAGTTTGAAGTAAATGTGTCACACAGATACAAGTTTGGAGTGTTTGATGTCACAAATTAAAGTTTGTGGTAAATGTATCACAATTGGCATAATTTAAGGTTTTTGGAGGCTTTATCCCAAAAAGAAAAGCCAACTTGGAAATTTCGGCCACACTCTCTCTTCTTTTAACCAATAGACATAGTTCCTCTCACCGCTCGCTGCTCGCCGCTCCATAGTCATCGACGTCATTCCTCTCGTTGAGCAAACCTTTAGAGGTAGATGGTTTATGGGAAGATCGTGAGGGGAGTCAAAGGTGGGAGGGCAAATGGAGATAGGCCACTGATGATCTCCGCTGCTCACGGTTTGCTTCCCCTGTTTTTTCTTCTCAAGTTCACAATTTTTTTCCTTTTTTCTGTTTTCAAACTCAAATTTATGCACTTTAGGTTAGTCTTTAAATTAGGAACTTTGATACTCGTGGTTGCTGCCCATGGTTCACGATCTACTCTTTTCTCTGGTCTTTTTTTTAGGGGTTTAATACCACGAAAAACCCTAAACCAGTACACCTATGAGAAATTTACCTAAAACTAATTTTTGACCATAAAAAACCCCAAACTGGTATACCTGCAATAAATTGACCTTAAACTAATTTTTTGATCACCAAAAATCCTAAACTGGTACATTTGTGACAAATTTATCCTTCATTAAATTTGATTTTTATCACGAAAAATCACAAATTGGTACATCTGTGACAAACGAAAGGTAATATTCCAAATTGGTACCATGTCAATTGCCACATGTCATCCAACTCAGAAATTTGACGGTAAAATATACGGAAACTAGTGAAAGGTAAAATTGTCACAGGTATATCGGTTTAGGGGTAAAATTGTTACAAGTGTATTAGTTTGAAGTTTTTTGTGGTATTAACTCTTTTTTTTTATGTTCAAGCTTGAATAGTGCACTCACAACATGCTGCACTTGTGGATTGGGACCCGTCATTGCACGAGCATCGCCACCCTCACATACTCGGCAAGGATTGCCGACCCTCAACGGCAAAGTAGGGGGCGGAGGCGCCACCCTATGCCATGTTCACCCCTGTTTTTGTAGCTGAGAATCTCGTGATTAAATTTGGCTCAAAGCTTGGTGCTTGATTTTAGTAAGCGACGAGCATTGAAGTTCCTATAGGTGTCTTGATCACTAGTCGTAGCCTCGATTTCGGACGCCATTGCTGAAGAACACTCCGGAGGTTACAAAATAGAGTGCACTAAGAGAGACTAAGATGAGGAGCAAAAGTCTCTCAGCTCAAAGTTTTCTTGATCTTGGGTCTTCTTCATTGTCCTCAAGTTGCCAGAAAACCGCCACCGCTGCCGCTTTTCGTCGTGCCCATAGCCATGCCGAGCCGACCACGGTTCGCCTCGGATGCCATCACTAAAGAGCTCATGCAGCGGCCACCACAGCTTCACTTGTTAAATCCAACCCTCAAAGTTTTTTCATGACTATCTTGTTCAGATTTGATCCTTGATTGCTTCAAGTAGTCCTTCTATACTCGTGCTTCACCTTCATCAAGTCTTGTCTAAAATACGGTTTGCAAAATTTTCGAGATACGGCTTGATTTGTGCAAATTAGGGTTTATATTTGGGGTAAACGTGTGAATGAGTCGTTTGAGATTATTAATGTTGACCGGGCACACCGACAAGCCACGTGAATCGCAAAAATTGATAAAAAAAAAATCGCCGCGTTAGATTTTCGACGTCCCAAATCGGAATTGATATTGAAGTGATCTCTTTTTTCTTTATTCAAAAGTAGCACAGCAGTGATTTAGAGAAAAAGTTTTGGCATCAAAGCGAAAGCCGTATCAAAGTTACGACACTTTAGCATCATTTGCACCGGATAAACCCAAAACAAGCAGGCAATTAAATCCTGAAATGGAAAAATCTGAGTAGAATTTGGCTTTCGGCCTTCCCGACCCGAGTGAGTGGCGACAGTCATTCTCTTCCGTGACGCCCGGGCGCGCGATGCAAACGCAGAAGACGACAGTTAGGTGGGACTGGAATTTCACACCAAAAGCACACGCCGCAACGCACGACAAAACCCACCCCCGCCTGCAAAAAAAATTAAAAAAGAAAAAGCTGGGAAATTATTATTAAAAACAGAAAAATATATTTTACTAATTTTTCTTGGAGTTTATTCTAAGAAAAAAAATCATCATCTTTGCCTTAAGCGACAATTTTAACCCGAATTTTTTCTTGTCTCGATAAAAAGCGCATATATTTACTCGAATCTCAAATTGGGCTTCTATAACGTGAAATTTTTTTTAAATTGTTTGGGCCAGATTTAAAAATTAAGTGAAAGCTGATAATTTTTTTATGAAATAAAAAAATTTTCGTTTTTTTTTCGGGAATTAGACTTGTTTTCTTGTGGGCAAGTTCAGATCGTTTTCGTTTTAACGAACGAAGCTAATGGAAATAAAAAAAAAAAATTAGATAAAATCGCAAAAACAAATAAATAAATAAATAAATACGCGGCAGGGAAACGAAGCTATAGCGACCTTCTCTCTCTCTCCCTCTCTCCAGAACTGCGAACCATCGTCATCGCGCAGCTCGCCGTACGCATCGAGAAGCCGAAGCAGCAGCAGCAGCAGGCGGCGGCGGCGGCGACGCGCGGCGCCCGGCGGTTCCGTATAGCCGCCCCCCACCCACCCGGCCCCCACTCGCCGCTAACGTGCGCCGCGCGAGCAAGGTGACGACAGGGCACCGCCATGGCGCGTCGCGATGCGGATGCGCTGTAGCGAGGGAGCGGTCGGCAGCACCCCGTCGCAAGTCATTCCTTCCTTTCGTGTTCTCCTCCCTCCCCCTTCCGAGATCCGATCGTCCCGAAACCCTAGCCTAAGGTCCCCCGATTCCGCTCCCGATCGGGGATCGCCGGTAGGATCGCCGGCCTTCCGGTCGTCGGAGTCTCCGCGAGAGCGATCGCCTAGGAATTCGCCGGCGGGGAGTCGATTCAGGGCGCGCATGCGCGCGTTTGGGTGACCGATCGGTGAGATACGAAGCGCGAGTCGCGGGGTAGAGCGGGGGAGCGAGAGGATGCAGAGTCGAAGTCCTCCCAAGCACCGGCACGATGGGACTTCGCCGCTGCCTCTGGGAATGGATTGGAGCCCTCCGCCTCGGAAATGGGTGAGTATGCTACTAATCGGATACGTTCGGTTTCGCTTTCTCTTCTCTGGTTCCGTACCGGTTCGAATTGGCTGTGTGATTCCGCGAATTGGAGTAGTTTGAGGCTCATTTTGTACGATTGAAGTCATGCCAGTGTGCGGTTTCGTTCTGAATCGGTATCGGAGGAGGAGTGCGTGTTGCTCAAATTGAGTCACGTGTGATCACGCACTGCGTGAATGATAGTTATTAGGCTCGTTGACTGAGATGAAAGTAATTATTGACTTGAGGTTTTGGAGTTCGTTATTTGCCTTTCTAGTTAAAGAAATGATCTTCTGTTGCTGTTATCCTGTTTGAGATACAGAATGGGCGGGAAACTGCGTGGCCGCACGATCATCGGACAGGGTGGAGTTACTGTGTTACGATACCTTCATGGGTCCTGCTGCCGAAATCAAGAGACTCGGATCCTGTTGTGGTAAGAATATATCGCCAGATGGCTGTTTGTTGTATTAGAAAGAGAATAGTTTTCAATACAGTCTTCTTACTTGAGACGGTGCAGTAATTATACGGGTCTTAAGTGTTCTATTCGCTTAGGAGATATATCAGTTAAATTGTCCCGCACAATTTTTTGTGTTTTTTAGCGACCCATGTCCACTGCAATAGGTGACGTCAGGCTCTCTTTTGCTCGAGTCCTCCAAGAACTACATCTATACAGCTATTCTTTCATTTTCAAATATGGTTTTTGCTGGCGGGATTTATTCCCTAGTATCCCAAGTATCTTTGTTGTTCATGGCGTCCAAACTATCGGTACTGGATTAGGATATCCGTCCACTTGATGGATACTTGTCGGAAAGTGCCGCGAAAGCTGTTTAGTTCCCCTGCAGGCTTACTTCTTTCTGTCATCTTTCTTTCCTTTTTCCTGCTTCCCAATTTGTTTGTGGTCCTGGATATTGTCTTGATCAACATGCTAGTTCCTCGTGAACTGTGTTGTGTAAGTTTAATGTATAACATCAAACCACTTGATTGAGGAGGACACTAAGTTTTCATGAGACATGACTTGCCTATTGCTTTGGCAGTGTTTTGTTTGTTTTACTTTTTGCTGTTATCTGATCTTCATCAGCCGGTACTTTTGTTTTTATAATCTTCTAGGTGTAAATTAAGAATATCTTTCAAGAATGTCATGACTTCTCATTTTAATTGTATTTATTTGAACCGTAATGCCAGAAAAATTAGTCTTTTGTCTTCTCTTTGGCGAATGACAAGCTTGTTCAGTGCTCAATAGACCAAGAACGCTCTGGAGGTTCCTTATTTTTCACTGTTACTTGTTTGGTTGGCAGGGTTATATATTCATATGCTGAGTTTCTTCACTTTTTGATGATTCAGAATATAGCCTTGGATTGGATTTACAGGAGGGGAAAAAAAACAAAGAACGGATAGGTCAAAAGATTTGTGATTATGTCAATATGCAGTTAGGCTGGTCCTAGTAAAAATGAACTGGTATAATAGCCCCTGGCTTTTTTATTTTTTATTTTTGATTGACTGAATCGATACGAAATGTCTAGGGGGCCTGAACTGAGTTGGTATGGCTTGGTTCAGTTTCAAACCGGGCCAAACTGAAATGTTAATTTTTGGAGCTTACAATGCTTTGCATTTCACAGTTTTTTGGTGTAATATATATTTGTAGTTTTCTAACCTTGGCTTGTTCATATCCTTGTCTTTGTTTTACTAGTTAATTGCAGAGATTTGCATGTCAAATAGGCTAACGTCAAATACAACCAGATGTTCTTTAAAACTTGAATCAAACTGCGACAACTATTTTGATTCAGTTTACTTTGGTTCGAGAAATTGGAACTCCCCCTATTTCCAACAGCTTTCTAGTTTGGGCTTTTGCCCTTTTTTTCCCTACATAAAATCTTTGTTATTCATATCCATATTGTGGCTTCTGGCATTACTTCTCGCCCTTAACATTCTTAATGGGCAGTTTTACAGGGTTCAGGTTGGTTTACAATCTCCCGAAGGTGCTACGACTGTTCGTGGAGTGTTAAGAAGATTCAATGACTTTTTGAAGTTATTTTCTGATGTGAGTCAACATAGCTTGTAAATATTTTCTTTGGATTGGGCACCTTAATTCTGTGGTTGATGATCACAAGTTATATTTTTAAATCATGCAACCTGTCCTTTTAGAAAACTAGAAAAAGAACTTTTGTCTTCATGATTCTCAAGCATACATTTTTAGATTCTTTTTTAATTATCAGCACATTTTGCAGCTTAAAAAAACATTTCCTAAGAAAAATCTTCCACCAGCTCCTCCGAAGGGACTTTTGCGGATAAAGAGCAGGGCATTGTTGGATGAGGTAACAATAGTTTCTCATTTTCTATAGTGAATTTTTTAGATTGTATATGAGTGGAGGCAGAGTGTCCTCTGTTGTTTTAACTTCATTTGTCTCTCAACTATCTGATTGCTTGTCATTCATAGATTATCTCGCAATGATTAATTGAGTGCTTGAATAAGTACTTTCTAAAAATGATTGTAAGTGTAAATTTTGTGAATACTTTCTTCAAGTTTTCAAGACTGGTTAACTTTTGGAATGCATTGATAGGAACTGCACGAAGATGTCTGATGTGGCTCTTGTTGCAAGCAATGCAAATTTTTTATTAATACATGATAGTCGGAGCAAATGTCCTACGTGTGTTTTCATTTTTGTGTACTTTTTGCTTGTTCCATGTAAATTGGTTGATCTGCTGAAGTTTTAGTCTCTTTGAAGATTGAGAGGTTTTAATATGTAATGTGTCTTGCAGTCATTGTTAGCTAAAGTTTGGAAGTTGCATAGTAAAGCATTTTTCATGTTTTAGGAGTAAGATTTCAGTGGCAAAGTTTTCTTTTTCTTTAAAGGGGGAAGGATTACAGTGCAAAAGTTTACTGTATGAAGCTCTACTACAGAGAGAACAGTCACCGCAGTTGTCTTAAATAACAAATAATCATGCCTTCTTTTTCCTGGAAATACATAATCTATCACAATATTTGTAGATGCTTATGAACAATCGCCTCTTTGTTTTTCTCTCAAAAGTGTAGTCTAATCAGCTAGGCCTTTAGGCACACCTTTTTAGGAATACTGTCTGTGCCTATGATGCAATGGCCCTCACTTTATCAGCTCTCAGGAGTTTTCACTGTCTTTTTGTTAGACTACTGCAATTGAATGTCAATTAATGCTATTTTTTAGCATTTGAAGTTTTTCTGGCATAGTAATGCTATCCCAAAAGTTCGTTAATGGCAACAATTTAGTGTGTGACCCATTCATATTTCATAAGGCTAAGATCTTTTTCAGAGAAGGTGCTCGCTGGAGGAATGGATGACAAAGCTCCTATCTGACCTTGACTTGTCGAGAAGTTTTGCAGTGGCGTCATTTCTTGAACTAGAAGCTGCTGCTAGATCTTGTATGTCTTCGAACCAACTGCTCCTCAGGATTTCCATTGGGTTACATTGTGATATTTGGTTATGGACAATTAAATTCAGTGAGAGCTAGAACTAGTCGTATAGAATTTTCTTGGTAATCTTTGGAATTGCTGGGACCTTGGATTTGATTTTGACAACTCATTTTAGGTGTATCTTTTGTTTTTTTTTTCAGCTTTTCAAGACACAAATCAAAATGTGCCAGATGCATTGGGTTCTGGAAACAGTTCAGAATCATCACATCAGCCACAAAATGATTCAGCATTATCTGTTGTTGCTGGTGGTTCATCTCTCACATCAGATTATGGCAGTGATACTGCCTACGAGAACTCCGACCTTGGAACACCAACGTTAGGAAGACATGAAAGTTCTGATGTGGGTGTGGAGGAATTTTCTTTGGATGAAGACTTGCCTAATCCCATTGATAGACTTGTCAAATATGGTGTGTCTAATATCGATGAGGGTCTGTTCATGGGTGAAGCAATCTTAGAGCAGCTGGAAGGTTTAGATAGGCGTAAAATTCATGGCAACCATGTAAATGTCAGTGGAAAAAATTTGGAAAATGGAAATATTTCCAAAGTCCCATATCTTATGGGAAATGACTTAGAACTCTTCACAGAGCCAGATCATTTTAAGGTTACTGGCCACACACGGAAACTCTCTTCTGATAGCATTTCCAGTGACGTGAGCTCTCTCAGAGGTAGTGAGTCATCAAACTCTGGAATGCCTAATTCATCTGGCAATGGCTCTGCTTACCTTTCTGGAGCTGTTGAAACTTCAAGTGCTCCAGAAATTCTTGGGAACACAGAGCTGCATGCTTCAGGAGATGGCCAAGTCATCCTTCCGATGGATCAGCGCAGTAAATTGAATAGGGTCATGTTCTCCTTTCAACGAAGGCTAGTAACAGCAAAAACGGATATGGAGGATCTTATATCGAGATTTAACCAGGAAACTGCCGTGAAAGATTACCTTATGACAAAGGTAAGTCTAAATAAGTGAACAAGTCATTTGAACTAATCATCAAATGTAAACATTAAATGAATATTGTTATATAAGGGCAACTAATGCCATACACAAACCTACAAGAAAAATTCAACATATTTGGAAATGTTTATGACGATATTTTGCCATTACTCTCTTACGAACACACAATTCCTGCATAGACTGGAAGTGCATGCGACTCACATGCACATAGGAAAAGACCCGTGCGCCTCTCTCTCTCTAGCATGCTCACACTAACACACATGCACTGAGTCTCGCACAGACCATGCACGGATTTATATGGATGTCCAAGGAGTAGTGCTGGAAGTGGAAGGTGCTTTATTGGTTGACAATACGTTAGAAGATGGAAGGAAAAATATCAATCCATGGAGTATAATATTACATCTTTTATTGTCAGATGCATCTCTCAGACCATGTTTGAGTCTCTCTTAATTAGATTGTTTACTGTGGAACCCTTGAACCTTCCCTTTGGAGATTCTCACTGATAGAGCAGATACAAAGCATATGCTTGGTGCACCTTTGCAGCTATAGGAGAACACCACAATTGCTTGCATTTGACATTCAATCTATTTTTTCATGGCATTTAATGCACCTTGGGTACATGCTGATCTGTCTGGTGCTAGCTCATCTGGACCAGACCTTATCTGTTTTATAGCAGCCAAACAGCAGGATGTATTAGTGAAAACTATACACTTGATATATACTTTCAGGCAAATTGTATTACACTCCTTAAATTTTGATTAGAAAGGTAGAGGCAGCTCCTATAATTTCAAGATGTGTACCTGCTTTCTTCAAAAGAAGGTGGGTGCGACTGCGAACTATGGACTACCTGCTGAGGTTGCATGTAATAATATTAAATTTCATATGATAGCGCGAGTAAGTATTAAGGGAATGACAAGTTGTTACGTTTTCATTAAAGTATAATGGGCGTCAAGTGATCGACCTAGGGCATATGTTTTTAATGCATAAGTTCAACTGAGATGTAAAGCCAAGAGAACCAATGAGACTAAAGCTTAAGACATATGGGACAGTTGTTGAGATCATACAGATCCTAGCACGCCAAAAAGGGAAGTCTAGGTTGCTTTCAGTTATGTGGAATTAGGATTATATGTTGTTCGACTTGTGCACATCTGGGCAATGCTGAACTTTGTCCTTACTCAGAAGCCGGTTTTTTGGGCCATCTTTTATGTTGATGGCAGGGGGTGACGGCAGGGTGAATGTGGCCCTAGTTTCCTTTTTCGCCTCTACGGTAATGGAAGGGGGGCGAAATTGACTGGTGTCTGGGAGAGATCTCTAATACTTTCCAGCTGGACATGTGTTGCTGGCTCGGCTTACATAAATGAACACCTCTAAATAATCAAGTAGATTTGGGAAGTTCTGTGAGTCTGAATTGGATTTAATAATTAAAAGAAAAGAAAAGAACGAAAAAAAGAAGCAGCCTATAAGATAAAATAATGGGTCTTGTTTTTGTTTGGTTCATTTAAGGCAACTGTATGGGCGGAAAAAGTAATGTATGTGTGCTCATAGTTCATGCATTTCTAAGATAGCCGTGGTCTCTCTTTTCCTTGAGCTCCTTGGGTTGAAGCAAAGAGCTCTTGGGGAAAGATCAGTTTGCTATATGAGAACTTAGTTGCACTGTGTTTGAGCTCGAGGCATGTTGATCAGCTTGAACTTTTACTGCCTGTACAGATTACGTGGGAAAATGTCCTTAATTTAGATTAGAGCAATGAATGAGTAAACTTTCCATCGAAAAGCAGGTGGGATATTTGCCACTGATGCAGTATAGGGGCTTGATAGAGATTGTTTGGTGAGTGGAAAAATGGAAATAGCTGGCTTGGTTGACCAGTTATTTGTCCAGAAACCATAGGGATGTGTATCTACACAATAAAATGCATCGAACACTATGAATTTTTACTTTGACCAGATCTAACTGCTATTGTTGTTTTTCCCCCGGCAAAAGAGTTGAGCAACTTCATAGACTCTTATGCATACTGCCTCCTTGGTGCGAGTAGCACCAGCATGATTACTCTTTAAGTGGTAGTAATCAACTGCATCTGAACAGGTTAAGGATTTGGAGGTGGAACTTGAAACTACGAAACAAAAGAGTAAAGAAAACCTAGAACAAGCCATATTAGCAGAGAGAGAGAGGTTTACTCAAATGCAGTGGGATATGGAGGAATTACGACAAAGATCTTATGAGATGGAGTTGAAGTTAAAGTCTAAACAGGTATACGATTTTCTGTTATATTCTCTTTTCTTGTGTCCAAATCTTTTAGTTTAAATAATTTGATGTGGAAATTTTGTAGGATGGTGAGTCAAGTTCTGAATCAACAGGAGCATCCTTTAGCCCACGGAGGGACCAGCTGCTTCAGGAGTTGGATGAAAGCAAACAACAGGTTGGCAATTTGCAGAAAAGATATGAAGAGCTAGAACTAAGGTCAAAGGCAGATCTTAAAGTCCTGGTTAAAGAGGTTAAATCTCTCAGAATCTCCCAGAAGCATTTGAAGCAAGAGCTTAGTCAATCTCTGGAGGAAAAGAGAAAAGTCGAGGTAATATTTCTTTTAACGCATTTTTTGATGTTATATATGAAGCTTTTGACATTCTTTAGTTAGTACTAGTCTGTATACATGGAGCTTGATTTACACTGATTAGATGAGACAATAATGCAATGCTTGTGGCGGTTTCAAACAATGTGTGCCATCTCTAATACAACCACACGAGATAAGGCCCAGATAAACATATGAGTAAAAAGACACAGGTTATTTTGAGTTTATTTATGGCAAAGCTTTCTTGATGCCAATTCTCATGGTATCTTGTCAGAAACTCCTTGAAGAGGAAAAACAAATGAATCAACAATGTGAAACTGCCTTGAACAAGCTATTGCAAGAGTGCAAAACCATCCACAATGTACTGCAAGACTGCGTTGTCAATATCACTGCAGATGATGTAAAAGACCTTGATTCTTACTCTGTTGAAGGCATACGATTCTCGTCTATGTTGGATGACCGAATTGGTCGTATAACTGCACAGGTATTCTATCTGCTTTTCATGATTAGAATCACCCTTGAAACTTCAGGTTGTTTGATGATGGCATGTGCAGTTAACCTTTCAGTGTTTGAAGAGTTCACTAGAACATTTGCCTTACAGGATGTGACAGCTCCATGTTAGTTTGTATTTTCTTTATGTTACAATTTTCCGGGTGAATGATGTTCTCTGTCCTTGTGTTCATGACATTGCCACTAAATTTTGATAATTGCACACTTCTCACTTGAGAATATGAAGTCCTTAGTTTGTCAGGTCTATACCGTAGCAATGTCTCAAATCTGGATATAGAGGTTGTAGGAATTCGTGATAGAGTTTGGCTGGTTTTACCTTGGGATTCTGATCCGCAATAGCCCAACTGATGAGTTGTTCAGGTCACAAACTTTTCGATTATTGACATATTCTACAATTTCTTAAAAAATAGCATCATTTCTGACCATGTGCTCATTGAAGTAGTTCAGCCATAATTTGATACTGCGATTATCGAATAATCCCTTCGTCTCCTGAATTGACACGCCGAATGTTGGGTGGGGTCTAGTGCAATAATTGTGATTTTGTTGCACTTTTTAGGCGATGTAGACTTAAATGTTTGCCATCATTAATTTTGCCCGACTTTAGTGCATTACCAAAAGTTATATCCAATTTGTTGACCAGTCGCCATTTAGTGTAAACTGGGGTTTTGATGTGCATTCCATAAAAGAGGATGTCATTTAAATATAATCTCAATAGTGGTGATCGAATTTAGATTATCAGCTCTCTTGTGAGATACTTCTGAGCTCTGTGAGTTAGGATAAAAGGCAATTAACTACATATATAAACTTAGATCTCTGAGGTTAATTGCAAGAGTCCCTTGACTGTCCGAAATTGCACTGCACCCCCTCTACTTGCTATTTGGAAACTATTCCTGCTTCATTGGAATTTTTTCTCTAACTAATGTAGTTTTTCAGGTTTTATGCTGGTACTTTTCTCTTTCTAGTGATTTTTGCTGCAAATGTTATATGGTCTTTAGTACCCTTTAGTCAACAACGAAAATATTTTAGGGTCAGTTGTGACTGGTTCCATCCTTGTGATAGGAGAAGAGATATATTATTTAAAACCATGCTTTAAACAGTTGCTTTTAGTGATCTAATGCTTTGCGGGTCAATGTGCGATTTTATAGCAATATGGTTTCTTGGGCCTTTGAGCATGTGGTTTTATACTTAAGAGCTATCCTTCGACTTGAGGCAATTGGAACTGGTTTAACATCTACTGTATCCTTTGACTTTAGGCTACCTGCACGAAAGCTTAAACCATAGAGCAGCAAAGTTTTGCAGATCTGCTAGAAGTCTGTGACTGTCTTCTTTATTCTTCATTTGACAATTGATTTGGCAATTCTGTTTTATTTGGTTTTGATGTTCTGTTTTATTTTTGGTTTAGATGATTGAGCGTGATGATGGCCTCTCTCATATTGTTATCACAAAAATTAAAAGAACTCAGGGTGTTAGCCATGCATAGAACTTACAAATCATACCATCCACACTTTGTCTATTCTGTTCTTGTTTTTTCCAAGAAATTTCATAATTGTTTTGTTTCTTTTTGGACAATTTAGAAGATTCTCCAATAATGCAATTTATGCAGCAAATTTCTGTTCCATTTCAGCTGGTCTTCAATCTGAAATTATCTTGTTTGGGGATTTGTTGATCTTGTTATCTCACTGTTTTGGAACAGGAATCTGTTTAATCAATATAACGTCTTATAATATCTTTCACATGGATAGTTCAGTAGGTAAAATTACAAGCTGTAGACACCGACTCTCTTCCTAAACTTCTAGTAAGACGTCTTTTATTATTTCTTTCAATGAACTTTTTGAAAGTTTGACTATCCCAAATGTAGTTCTATACTTGTTAAACTGCAACTTTTCCTTTATCCGTTCTCGGCTATATTATTGAAACTCAACTCCAAAAGTGAAAAAAATCATATGAGAGTGAATATGGCTGCCTGGATTTGTCGTACTTGGAAGTTACCTCCTGACTTTTACTTGGGCCTCGATTGAAATTTATAAACTCCAAATCCTTAGCATTTGATGTCTTTTCACCATGACCTTTGTATGTTTTTTGGTCTTTTTACAGCTCTGTCAAAAATATTTAGATGTCATTTTTCCATTGTAAGCCATGTACTCATCACATGTTCATCAGGCACATATGTTGGCCCAAGAAGGCCGTGCTGCTGCTTCTGATATATATGGAGATAATGGAGTAAATGACAACACAAGAATGGTCGAGGATGAATTGAAGACTACCATAGCAAACATCATCATCGACAGTAGCACTTTATTTAGAAAGCAGGTGAACTCTGTCTTGCAATGTTCTCTTAATGATGTTTCTGAAACTGAGACATCAGAGGCTCCTACCGGAAATTCCTAGCAGATTGAGTCATTTGAAAGGGGAATAGGGTTTACATTTATGAGAGTAAAATCCCATCCCTTTGGTATAGTCATAATGCCAAATCCCCAGTGTCTTCTCCACATTTTTAGTTAGTTGATGATACCTGCGGAGACGGCAGTCTGTGGTGACATTTTGTAATCCCACATAAACGCATTTCACGAGATGACAGTCTATACAAAATGATTTTCCTTGTTAATGTACATGCATGAGTACAAATTTTACCGGAAAAGCTATAGATGAATTTTGGAAATCTTTGAGCTTATTATTTAGATGTAATTTTTTTTTGGGTCGATATTTATATGTAATGTTCTAATGTATTCATTTAAGGCAATTGTTGAAGAATCCGTATCTTTTTATGATGTAATAAATAGATTCAAAATCGAGCTTGTTTGCTGAGCTGTCTGTTGGATTACATCATTCTGGTGCAGATGGATGGTTGGACTGTTTGGTGGTAGTAAGTACTTTCTTGAAACCTAAGTTACGGTATGGACAGGGCATGAGCCATGAGGACACCAAAGAATAACAGTAACGGTGCATACAGAATGGCCAGGAGAAAATGGCCTCCTTGTTTTTGGTTCGTTCAGATAAGCCTGGAGATGTTTTTGTAGGTTCACTACGACTATACGCTTTACGGTGTAGACTTCTTGTTGCTGAGCATGATGGCGTTTTAAGGTACTGCATTGTCTCCATTGTCAATCCGAGTGTTTAAAAGCACTCGGAGGGAGTCGGATATAGCAGAAGAGGTTTACAAATATGGCGGGTAAACCGTGACCGGGAGGCTGGATTCTTTCGGTTCGGGGTTGTGACGCTGATGTGACATCCGCTCGTGAAAGGTCGCGACTGAGCATCCTATCATCCACGCCTTCTCTTTCGGCAGTTTGACGATTGATGTTGAGATGCAATAGTTTGCGATATGGTCCTTTCGGAGCAGTCAATTCTTAAAGGGAAAGATATCTATGAATCCTATTTTGGCATTTCGTATGCTTCAGTTCAGCCCCTCAGTTTGTTGAAATGGCATTTTCAGGCTCTACGTATTGTGCCGCAGGAAGCAATTCGTAATCCTCAATTGATTCACTTGATTTTACGATGAGATATATAATTGACGACGCACGAGACGGAGGCATCACATCAATCGTAGGAACTCTAGGTAAAAGAGTTCGACGGGTAGATAGATCGTATCGCGAACGGGTGTATTCGACACAATCGGCTGTTTTCATTTTGGGGATAATATGAAGGGATCAGCTGGAAGTTGATACGGTTGCAAAGACAACGACACGCATTGAAAGAGGTCGGCCAAAGGACCACGCCAAGTTGGCCATGAAAGGTCACATTCCAACGTCCCCCTTCCATGAATTTTGCTTCCTTTTTCCCCCTTCCTTTGGTGGCGGAGGGTCGCGCCGCGCGTTGCTCTCTCCTTCATCCCCATGCTTTCCACGAATATCATCGATCGACACCGGCGACACAAAATATCGAGAGAAATGTAAGACCTGAAGAATCAATTTGAGATGGTACAATGTCGAAGTCGGTGGCTCGACGAGGAGGATCTGCAATCGGATTGGAAAAGCACTGTTTGGGGACTTAAAAGCGCTTTTAAGTAACGCCCTATATGCTTCTTATTGACGCTTCACGCTACTCTATCTCCTGAACTCTACACTTACTTTCAAGATCTCAGAAAATTCAAACTCTATATCAAGGAATCTCTCGCTTCTCTTTTTCTTGTTTTCCTCGACGTGGAATTTCTGCATCTTGATGTTTGAACTGCTCTGGGGAGAAGCATAACGAAATATAAAACAGTGAAAAACTTTCAGCTATTCTGTCCCGAAAACAAATATCGACGGTCGCTTCCCGTTTCGAATATCCGGGAAGAATTCTAACTCTCACCTCATATTTCATCGAATAAGAGACATCCCTCCGGGAAAATAAATAAATAAAATTTGAAAAAAAAAGAGATATCTCCTATCTCCTATTTCCATTTCATCTCACTCCATCGGAGCGATCCGATCGATTTTCCTTGCCCCGAAAATGAAAGTGCAAAATCGAAGGAGCCAAAAAAATCAAAATGGGACGGGATCCGTTACCCTCCCGCGCTGCCACGTCGGGATTTTCAGTCGCGGCCGTCTACTCTATCCTCGTTTGTGGATAATAAAACGGGGAGGGCGCCCGGCGCATCTTAGCATTCTCCCGGAAAAGAGCAAAGCGAGACGCGCCGCCGCCCTGCTAACGTGAGCCCCTCCGTCCCTCCCCCCCCTTCCCCCCCCCATGCGCGCGCGCGCGAGATACCTTCTTGTCCCCGCGCACGCAAGCCCCTCTCTCTCTCTCTCTCTCTCTTCTCTTCTCTCTCCTCTCTTCTCTCCTCTCACTCTCTAGAGCGAAGGAAGGCCAGCACAGCGCGGATGCGCTCGCGAGGCGTGGCATGGAGTTCGCCGCCGCCGCTCTCCGCTCCAACCTTCCCTCCTCCGCTCCCTCCCCTCCTCTCTTCTACTGCGACTGCCAGGTGCTCTCTCTCTCTCTCTCTCTCTCTCTCTCTCTCTCTCTCTCTCTCTCTGTAGGAACCCTCTGCGACGCGTGGCTTCGTTCCGCCTGAAATGTGCGTGGGTTCTTCACGCGCATTTTGGCTGTGGGCTTTGGGGGGTGCCATGCTCCCGTTGAATTCCTCGTCCCGCGGTGTTTCGATGCGATGCTCCGATGGCATCATCTCTAGTTCCGCGTGATTTCCCCCCCGACGTGGTTGTCCCCCCCTGGCACATCCCGCTCTAGGCTTTTTTGGAAAAAGACTGTTTTTTTTTTGGAGGGTAGGATTGGGGTCGTTCTTCCACGTTATGCGGATTTCGGTCTATTCGCGAGTTCCTCTCGCTCTCTTCCGGGGGGGCCGCATTTGATACGCCCCCCCACCACACGCCCGGACAGGTTTGAGGTTCTGGTCTTAGTTGGGTTGGGTTGGGGTTGATGGGTATGGTGGTGGTAGGTTATGAACTCAGGGAAGGCGATGGTTTTGTCATGTTCGTGTTAGTCGTCGTCGAGGAAACCGCCGCGCGAGAAATGACGAGGGGGGAAGCTTCATTTTGTCGTGTTGAGTTAGGAAAGTTTCGAACTTTTTGGCGCAAGACGACACTTTGCCCCCCTTTGTATGGGACAAATGACCTATTTCAAAACTATGGTGATCGGACCTATTTGGTTGTTCCATGTCCTGCTCTAATATAATAATTTGTGTTTGTGAGGATTGAGATTCTAGATCCGTTTTCTGAGTGATCGTTTCGCTGTTTCCAGTGCTATCTGAGGCTGAAGACGAAGCAGCGGAGACTACCTTTTCTGAGTACGCCGGCTCGGAAGAACCGCCCCCTGTATCGCGTGAAGTCGGTTTCGAATAACGGGAACTCGAGGATCAGTGGTAGTGGCGCGGCTGAACCCGCCGGGATTCTTCTCGAGAGATTGTTTGCGCGGACTCATAAGCTGGAGGAAATGAGCAAAGCTTCCAGCGTGCCTCGGGATCTCCAGCTGGATCTGAATTTCGAGGTGTTGGAGTCGGACCTCCTTGCTGCTCTGGCTTCTTTGAAGAGGAAGGAAGATGATTTGGAGGAGGCCGAGAGAAAGTTAGTGCTGGAGCAGGGCGAGTTGAATCGTGCGACGGAGGAGTTGGAGCATCGGGAGGAAGCGATTGCTTCTGCTTTATCTAGGCAGGAGAAGTTGGAAGGGGATTTGAAGCGGGCGAATTTGAAGCTGGCTTCTCAAGCTAGAGAGATAGAAGATTTAAAGCTTCGACTGAGGGATAGGGAGCGGGAGATTGCGGCCTCTCAATCTGCATTATCCCTGAAAGAAGACGAGATAGGAAAAATGAAAACTGAACTGATGAAAAGAAGCGAAGATGCTCTGATGATCGAATCAGAACTTAAACGAAAATCCCAGCTCTTGACTGAAGCCGATGAAGTTATCAATAAGCAGGAACTTGAGCTTCAAGAACTTCGAAGAGCAGTCAAGGAGAAAGAAGAAGAGTTAGAGTTTTCTATGACATTAAAGAAGGCAGAAGAAGACAAGCTAAAAGTTATGGAGGCTACTTTGGAGAAACGGACAAAAGAATGGTTGCTATCGCAGGATGATTTAAAGAAACTGTCGGATGAAGCCTCTAAACATGCTGCAGAATCTAACGAGGCATTAGAGGATTTCAGAAGGGTGAAGAGACTTCTTGTAGATGTGCGGGCTGAATTGATATCATCTCAGCAATCTTTGGTTTCCTCGAGGCAGAAAATGGAGGAGAAGGAGAAGCTTTTGGAAAAGCAAATAACAGAACTTGAAGGGCAGAAGGAGAGCATTGCTGCTCACATGGCAAGTTTGAAGGATGTCCATATAGAAGTAGAGAGTGAGAGAGTGAAACTGAGGGTTGCGGAAGCTCGAAACAAAGAGCTTGAGCGAGATTTGTCATTGGAGAAAGAATTGATGGAAGAGCTACGGGATCAGCTGACGAAAGAGAAAGCTTCTCTCCAGCAGGCAATTCAGGATAGGTCCTTGCTGCAGACTGAGCTAGATAGGAGAAACTCTGAATTTCAAGAAACCCAAGACCTTCTGCGGTTGAAAGAAGAAGAACTGGTGGAAGCCAAACTAGAAATTCGGCATTTGAGTTCCCAACAGACTGCTCTTCAGCTCATGTTGGAGGAGAAAGATTTTGAACTCTTGAATACAAAGGAGAAGTTGGAAGAATTAAACTGGGAAATTGAAGAGCTCAAGAGACTCATGAATGGGAGGGAGGACCAGCTTATCCAGGCTACAAATTTGCTAAAGGAAAAGGAGGAGCATGTCCAGAACATGCAAAATGAGCTAAGTGATACAAAATTGAGATGCACTGAAGCTGAATCTATTGTAGAGCGGATCGTGGAACTCACAAAGAGACTAATTATCCCCTTAGAGGATAAAGAAAATGACTTGGCGAAAACCCTGGACATGGATGGTCTGGGATCGCAACAGCACATCACGTTACCAACCGATGATTTTAGGTGGAAAAACAAACAGCTTGAGACTGAGATTGATTTAACTAAAGAAAGCTTACGAACGAAAGAAATGGAACTTATGGATGCACAAAGGTCTCTAGCACTCAAGGACGGGGAGCTCGAATCTGTCCTCACTAGACTAGATGAGAGGGAGGAGGAACTTCAAAGGTTGAAGGAAGAAATGATTGATGATGCTAGTGATCTCCGGAAACTGTATGAGTTGGCACAACAGAGAGTTGGCGAGAAGAGCATGGGGGACTTAGCTATTGAGAAACTTCAACTTGAGGCTGCCCAGCTGGAAGTTGAAGCTGCAACTAGTGCTCTTGAAAAGCTTGTGGAAATGACTCGAGAGTTTTTAGGTAAAGCTAGTTTAAGCATTGAGGCGGACACCAATGCCGGTAGCCTCCATGAAGAACCCTCTGATGTCTTGACAAATTCAGATAAGAACAATGAATGTTTTACCGAGGTAAAATTGGAGGTCGCAAAACTTTCAGCTTTGAGTGAACACCTAGTGAGGGAGGCTGGCTTTGCTATTGCTGCAGAGTAATTTAGGTCATTGAGCTGTGTACATAGTTATCTGACGGATTTTTCGTCATAGTGGAGAGTGAGGATGTTCTGTTTTATTTTGTAGTACGGGTCATACTCTGATTAGACTAGGATGTGAGAACTAGTTGTATGGTGTATGAGGCTCGTGTGTTTGTTGAATAGTTACTAGGTGAGTTGAGGAGTGGATCTCTTTTTCGTAATTGTGGTCTAATCTGATGTGTCGAAAGGTTCAAACTGACCATGTAATTTGAGTAATGTTTCGTTTTCCCACTCTAGTTACAACACCAACAAATTTGTGTTGAGAATTTGTTCGAATCTATGGTTCCGTTAGTGATATTTGTAGCGGGCACTTCTCAAATCTGACCGTACATTTCGATACCTTGGAATGTTCGACCACGAGCATGATGAGCTATTTCCTAGCAGGTTTCAGTGCGTGGAAAGATGCAGGCTTCTAATTTTCGAGATCGACTTGGAATTTATCTGAATTATCTGAATGTTCTAGTTCCTTCTCTCCTGTTGCCTCGAGCAGCCAAGTCAGACAGCAGAAACTATTGTTGTCTCATCTGGTGTCAGTACTCATAAACCTTTTCTTTTGTTTTGGACAATTAGTGGGTCATGGAGCGAGTCTGCTGAAAATGTTAACCATGATCAATGAGTTTTAACATTGGTGAACATCTCGTTGGGAACGGATATTACCTAGATGTGAGACTTGAAGGGAGTTAGTAGGTGAATGACCAATGACTTGCTTGAACTACATCAATTCTCACTTGTAAAATCAAATTCAGAAAATGCCTCGGGTAACATTTCAACAAATAATGGTGTTGCTACCCAAAAAAAAAGGGGGGAAATTGCTGTCACTTCCTGCACTATTGCATATTCGTTAACCTAGGAGACTGCATATCGACAAAAACCCACTTAACTACCGAAGAATCAACAAGTCAAAAGTTTTAGCATCTCAGACAAGTTCCTTTCTCCTTCTAAAGGATTGCTAAATGCTCCTGTTGATTGGATAGGAATACAGGTTAAGAGTTCCAGGGCTGTTAAATGTCTGACAAGCTCCTCAAGAAGCTTTCCATCTTGATTATCATTGAAAACTTGGACTAGCAGCTTCTCTGTAATTAGAAATTTCCTTTGATTGGTTTGCATTTGCTTTAAACCATCTCCAATTTGATTCCTTGGAAGGATACTAGCGCTTGTCATCCCAGAACAAGAAGGGCGAAAAGCTTGAAGCGGTCACTTCCCCATGAGCTTATAGTATGCATACAAGCCAGAGCCGAGAAAACCAAGAAATTGCCCAACAACATTCAACTGAACACAGGAAACACGGGTTCAGGACAATGTTAAAACTGATAAATATGCCATAATAAGAAGCAGTTGTGAGTTGAAGTCTGCAAAGAGATCAACTTCTGATCGTGAGATAGAGAGAGCATTACTCACAAAATCAAATGGAAGCCCACCAAAGATAATCCAGCCGAGTCCAATGGTAAAAAGATCCTAAAACAACATAAATAACAGAAATTGTGATACACAGAGAAGCGGCAGATTACAATTTCCTATAATTACCGGAGGGAGAAATCTAATATGCAGAAACAGACCAATTGAAGCAGCGAAATATCGTGGTCTCGCTGAATACTTACTATACATTCACAGATATTCTCTGTGGCTCATTACAATGTAGAACCATGCCGTAGCAACAAGAAAAGTAAACTAGAAGTGTTAACATTATTGCACAGAGTACAGCTCAGTTTCATAAATTTTGGATCGATAATTTAAGTCCTAAAACTTTTTAAAATGACTCGATGGAGCATCCTTAGCGAGTCATCTCATCATAAAATCACAAGCTGATTGCCTGTATTGGCCTTTTCGAGGTTTTAAAACCTCTAACATGGCAACATGAACTCAATGACACACGAGACAACATTGTTAGCAAATGATTCTCTGGTAACCTTTTCTCTCTACTCTTGCTTTTCTTCTCAACCCCAATTTCAGCTTTAGTCTTCTCAAACCTCCCCAAATTAATCGAATATGAGCGATTCCATGAGCTTCTTCCCATCCCTCCTTTGCTCATGTCCTCACAATTGCTTCCTTCCTCCCAACGCACCCAGTTCCATGGCCAACACCCTCACTCGCCATTTCAAATATTCATGAAATTCATGATTTTGGATATTTAACCATTGGACTAAATCTTATCAACAAGATCAGCACCTTTAGTGAATGCACATATAGCATCTAACGCATTAGCACTAACCCACGTAAACATCTCTGTTGTACAGATTCAAAGCTGCTATTCCCACATACTCTCTGATCCTCATCAAATGACTCAGGTTACACAGAGTTGTCTCCAGCAATGTGAAGAGCTTTCAGCACCAAATGCAAATCCTGGAAGTCCCTTTGAACCCTAACGATAAGGCCTCGAATTGAATCAACAGCTCCACCAGCTTCCCGTGCTGGAGAATTTATCGTTTAGTAATTTGACAAACTTGTAGACAGCCTCTCTGTAAATTGACACCTCTGAACTCAATTGACTAGGCAATGCAGCGGATGAAGTTAGTCAAGACCCAGCCACATCAATTTAAGTTGAAAGTTGTGAAACAACGTCATTTGACATTGCGTATGAAGTCACAAAGTCTCCAGCCGCAACTCAGAACGAGTTTAGGATTACTTTATGCCATGTGTGATTTTCTGGCAAGATGAGTCGTGTAGATACTTCATCGAGCCACTATAAAAAGTTCTAGGACTTAAGCATCGATTGAAAAGTTCCGGGAAGCAACGTCATTTGACATTGCGTATCAAGTCTGAAAGTCTTCAGCAACCCACAGAACAAGTATAGGATTTAACTTTCGCAATATGCAATTTTCGAGCGAGATTAAGTCATTGCAGAAACTTTATTGTGCTATTTTAAACGGTTTTAGGACTTCATTGATGGATCGAAAGAGTTTACAAGTGTAGGACTTCTAGAGTGTACTTGGCAAGTCCAGGTTCCATATAGTTACTAAAAGAGGAAAAAAAATCATCAAATTATCTGATTCATCAAACGAATATTAATCTGAATCGAGTTTCTGCCTTTCAGTCTCCTATCAAGTTCTATTCTAGAAAATGTCACAAATCTATGATGAGGCTGCTCTGCCATAACTAAAACTGACATATGCAACATCAGGGATCTTCATCATCATGGTCTTTTCAGTTAAAGCATCGGTGTATGCAAACTTACCAGTAGTTTCCGATTTCTCAACTCCATTGTTTCTCAATTGACAGCAATAGAGAAAAATGTATTCCGCAGTTAAAGTCTCCTGACCACTCAAAATTGAAAGCCCTAACATACTGTGTATAGTGCAGATAGTCTCAAAGCATATCAATGTATTATGCAGAACTCTGCAGTGTCTGCAAATGTTACTGCATTAGCTGGTGTACATACCTTTAGATTTCCACAAATGGTCTGCGTCACTGCTGAATTGAGGGTTGTGTTCAGGAATATACAGTAATTCAGAAAGAAAGCCAATATGCAGGAGAAAAGCAAGATAACCTGCCAAATCAAGGAAGTAGCAATGTCTCAAATTAAATGTTCTCTACCATAGAATCTTGATTATTCAACAGCAAAACTTATTAGCCAAAGAGAAGTGTAAAAATTAGGAAGAACAAAAATTCAAGAAAGAATGTTTCAATTGCATGACATACAACCCCAAGAATCTGAGACCCAGTGGATGATGGACTAATAAAGCCATTGATAGCTAAATAAATCTATCAATATGCATGCACCACATCCAGCAGCTCTCAAATGCAACCTTTATTATATGCACACATCTATGAAAAATTTCAAGGAGATACTTGAATTAATTAGATATAGATTTTCCAAAATGCATCCTTTGATTCACTGATGGATTCAGTAGATACTAAAATCAATTAGATATAAATTTTCCAAAGTGAGTTCTTCTTTGATCCAACTGAAGGACAACAATGTATGTACACAGAACACAAGCTGGGCGCTCTTTTCCGAACATTTGTCCTTATAGTTTTACTCAACCACAGTAACAACCATGATTCCCATAAATGACCGATATTCAGGGGAAGCCTTTTCCATTATGACTCTGCCTGATTGTCAGTCTGTGTCCAGTGTGTACTGAAATAACAAACACAATCAGAGATGCATGTGAAAGTGGTAGGGCAAACATACCATGAAGCCAGGCGAAAAAAGATACTGAAAATTCAACGTCATTTCTATGTCCCCCCTGATATATGTCCAAAACAGTAGTATTGGTCCACATATAATCCCTATCATGGAGAAAGGAGCATCATTTGCATCAGAGATGATCAACAGAGGATAACAACAACTAGATCATTCCAAATGAAGTATTTGTTCAGTGGTATAATCAGTTGTCTTTTTTTTTTTTTTAAGAGTAACAAGAAAAGATCGCTATAGGGCACTAAGGAGCGAAAAACCCACGAAGAGCTCAAAACCAAAAGAGCTCAGTCACAAGACAAATCATGTCAAGTTAAGCATTTCCTTCAGACATAACTTTCCATCATACCGAAAGCGTAAGACTTTCAACCAACTTTCTGTAATTACAAAAACGGCCGTCTCCTCTTCGTGAAAGCTCTCTTATTCCACTCTTTCCAAATCAACCAAAATATAGCAAGGGGTATGGAAGAAATCCTCCTTTTCTTAGCACGAGGAAAAAGAAGACCTTGCCAAGTCCATAATTCTTGTTCAATCCTCCTATAACCCAAGATATCCCAGTGCATGCACAACTCTTGGCCATTGACAGTGAAGAAGATGTCTCACTATCTCTGCCTCTCTGGCAAAAATTAACAAAAACAGCATAATACCTTGGTTCTGCAAATTGTCTACGGTGATGTCCCAAACAAAAAATGAGACTCTAGATGGTAGTCTCACTTTTCAAATAGTTTTCCAAGAAAAAGGATGCCTGCTACCAACAATCTTATGTTGAAGAAATCTAAAATAAGACTCTACAGAAAAAAATCCCATCTCTATCATTACTCCAGGACAAAGTATCACAGAAGTGAGCAGAATCTTAGAGTCCTACAGCAAATAAAAGAAGTTGACAGAAGCTTCAAGTTTCCAATCTTGGGCTTGTCATGAAAAGTTGATCGCCCAGGATTCTGCCTTGAAAAAAATGATAGCAATCCGAGACAAGGGCCTTGCTGTTCTCAATGATGGCAAAGAGGTCAGGTAAACGATCATTAGAAGCCGTATTCCCACAGTCAAAATTGTATCCGCTTACCGTTCCCACAATACAATTTGTATGAGTAAGAAACTCACTCCACTCATTTCTAATTTGCCTCCAAATACCGCTCTCAGGAGCTATTCTTCTACCTTCAGAAATCCAACCAGTTTTTTTTTTTCTCTAAGGCCAAAATTGGTGACAACTTTCCTCCAAAAATTATCATTTTCCACATTGAACCCCTTTAACCATTTGCCTAGAAGAGCCTTGCTGAGCAATAGAAAAGACTTGATGCCAAGACAGCTGTTACGAAAAGGTTGCTTGGCAATTTTCCAATTAACTGGGTGAAATTTACGCGACTCATCATAATCCTTCCACAAAGATCTATTTGAATAGATCAAACCTTTAGCAACCGGACATGGATAGAAAAAAGAGACATCAAATAATAGGGAGATTGGAGAGAGTGCTTTTAATGAGGGGTCAGTTATCTTACCATTGCACCACATTAAGCCAAAGCTATTCAGCCCACTAGATTTCCCTACGATGAATAAGAAAAAAGAAGGAACAGATTAAACTAGTGAAAACCGCATGGATTGTCGCAATTCCAGAGAAGAAGAGAATAAAATAATACCAATACGGGCTATCATTGCTAGATATATTGCTGTGGTAATGTTGGATAAGAAGACAACAAAGTAGCCATGAAAGTCAAATGACAAGTCCCTTGCTCCCGCGACAAATGCACCAAGAACAATCAATCCAACACTGAAACAACCTTAAATTTTGTGTTAGATGGACAGCAGGAGAAAAAGCAACATGAGATATATATTTTAACTACTTTAAATTCTAGCTAATGGAGAGTTTATGAAGGCAAATTATAATTTAATCTAATATATTCTTCAAAGTTCTGAATAATCATTTTCCTTACCTAAGAAAAGGTAGATCATGCAATCAGGTCTAAATATAAACAATGCCTTATTCAACCTAGTCCGTACTAAAGGCTGTAAGATGAATATTCCAATGCATATATAGGTTTAATTAACCAAGTCCATTCAAAGTACACTAAGAGTCTGAGAGATTATAAGTTATCTTTTTATGACATTGATGCCCGGCACTCCTAAAACACCCAAAGAATTCCCAAGGTGGCTGCGCTCCACTGCAACTCAGTGATTCTTGGGCCAGGAGTCCCTAGCATGGGCCCAACAAAGTTGGCTTGTTAAAATTCTTTAACCCATCACCACGCTTCATGGCAAGTTTGGTATCAAGTTTTAACCAACTTGACTAAGCCCTTGGGATTGCTAGATTATGAATTTGTATGAAAGAACACACCATATGATGTTCCAGCCACAAGGCAAAGCATGTAGGACAGAACAAAATACCACAAAGAAGGGAGAGCTACCTTCCAATGACAGAAGATGAATACTTCTGACCTGCCAGAATCCACTCTGCTACCATTGTAAACACCACTGTCGTCCGCCTAAGGGTGGTATACATTGGAACATTTACTCCTCGAACAGACTCCATAGTGGCTAGCTTTCATGTAGAAATAAAAGAATGGAAAAATATTTTCCATTATGAAAACCAGCATGTAAAAGTTAGTTATCAGCACCAAACACGCAGCAAGACACAAAGAAATGCTTACCATGTATAACAAATAGGCGAATGAAAGAGGAAGAGTATGAACCAATGTCCTCAATGGCACAAGCAATTTGGTATTATCCGAAACAAGCGAAGATTCAGCTACTGTAAAGTTGATAATCTTCCTCTTTCTCAGTGCATAGAGAAAAGAAGAGGAACATATCATCTGTAAGCGCAAGAAGGTGAACCCGGGTTAACTTCATACAAATTGATATGAGGCGACTATACAAAATATTCAAGAACTCATCAAACTAGCTAAATTATCCATGGAGACAGGAACATATGACATTCCATACGAATTAGCTTCCAGATTCAGAAAAACTTGATCCTTGATTGTACAACATATTTGCTAGCACCCTGAACATTCACTTAATGATTTCTGTAAAATTCAATGCAGAGAAATGGCGCTTAGACCTGTTGAGTTCCAACAAAACAAATTGAATAAATGTCGACGAGCCAATTATTACGTTTGAATTGACAAATACATGAAACAGGGTTCTGTTTGAAGGCATATCTGTATCACTTTAAGCCTTGCCAAGAGAAGTGTTTTCCAGACATATGTCAGAGAATTTAAAAACTTTTTAGGTGCAAAGAAGAATTTCCCGCGGCACAGCATTTCTTCCCTATCAACTTAGCTGCCTAGTACTGCTATTGGCATAACAACCAGTAGACCAAAGGCCCAACCATAGGGTTTAAACGGATCATACAATATAAAGTAGTCATTTATTCATCTTGAAAACTGTAGAATAAAATGTTTTGTTTTTTTGCCATTAAAGTACTAGCTGAATTATTTCTGTTTCTTTCACAATTATTTAAGCATTATATGTCAGCGAGACATGCCTATTTAAAATGGGCATCATTCCCTTTCATGGCAATTCACTTTCTCAATATTGGGTAATAATTTTCATTTACATTAGTTTCATTTGTTTTATGTAAACCAACTAGATAGTTTTTTCCGTAGTTGATTAATATGACAATTCTACTCAAGTCAAAAGATTACTATTCAACTCTCAGTAATAGCGACCATAAGGTTCGAATTTATGATCATATCCACATCTTTACAATCTGGACAAAAGACACCAGACAGGGAAAGATGAGCAGACAGGAGGAGAATGATCTCAACTGCAATTTCAAGAAGGAAAATTTGAGTTCTAGAGATGCAAAGCACTACAGAATCTGAGGAATATGGTTGGTAAGGCACAACCGTAAAGAACCAAATTGCATTTCAGTTGTCACTGATTCAACCAGACAGTCAATTTTGAGCTCCTAAATATCATATTTGAAAGCTGACTTCGGTTCTCCTAGTTCTGGAAGTCTTGAGACAGTTGAATTCTAGGCCTCCTATCTTTAGTCTGAACTCTGAAGTCCCCCACCTTCAGGCGAGTTACTGCTTCATTTATAATGTATTCCAGAGTGAAAAGCAAGCTTGGAGTGATGAAAATTACTGAACAATCCATAAATATAGGGCATCATCATGGATTCATCACTCAAATAGACAGTCCTAATTCTCGACAATGAGACATTTGAAAGAAAAAAAATTCACAGCAGTTTATTGTCTCAGAATCACCAATGCAAAAAGTTAAACTTATAAAGACCATACCTGTAACAGAGTGATGACATTTGCAGATGGGAAACTATAGGAAGAAAGAGCTGCTTTGTTAAACAACACCAAGAGCACTGCAAACATATGGGAAAGAATCAATAGCTGAAGCAGATGCGGCCCAAATAAATATGATGAAAAGATAATAAAAGTTTCCGTTTTGAAGATTTTAAGCTAAACAAATTAAGATTTGTTGTGTATCGGTATCACCTCTTAAAAGTATTGGACCACTACCCACTTGTTTCAGTTATGTCTATGGATTTCCCTTTTGTTCAAATTCCCATTTTGTGCCACCCACTGTTAATTATCCACGTTACGTTAATGTATTTGATTTGCATGTTCACCTTTACATATCTAAGGAAATGGTTTCTGGCGTGCTTACATATCTGATAAATTGACCAGACGGGATAATTAAGACTATCAGCCAAAATATAGCTAAGGCGTCATGGACTTCCTATCTATTTTCATCTAACCAAAGCACTGTAATGAAATCAAACAGGCATTCTTTCTTGACCATATATCAAGCAAATTCTATGTCGTCAAAGTAGGAAAGTCATGAAACGGTAACTTGGTCGGAGAGACAGTCATTTCCAGATACATAATTACACAGGTTGCATAAATATATAAGGTTGGGATGAATAGACTAAATTAAATCCATATTCATACGCGAAACCTCGAAGGGATGAAACCTTGAGAAAGCAGAGATTTTTGTGAGCTAAATAAGTTCATCTCGCAACCGACAATAGTATACCAACGAGCAATTGGGCACCAAGTACCGAGCAAAAAATGGGGCACCAAGTAACAACCATCTCGACCAATGCAACCATCCAATTTCCCCCATAACAAGTAATTGCAAGGATCATTCGCATACCCGATCGAAACCCGCGACCACCCGACAGAAATCGCGATCTCTACCTACATGGTCCTCGACAAGATGCGAATTTCAAACTACGAGAGCCCACACAGCTATACCCAGAAGACGATAAATCATCCTCGGACAGATGAAATCACGCACACAAGTCGACAGGCACGAGGGACTCGCGAGCAACGAAGACAGGGCCCCAAACCTGCGCAGGTCATGTAGGAGACGGCGGCGTAGGCGCCTCTCTTGGTCATGGCCGATCCCGCGAACAGCTTGTCGTCGAGCTTGAGGAGCCGCTCCCTCTCCTCGTCGCGCGGAGGAGGATCCGACACCGGCAGCACGTAGTTCTTCGATGAACTCGACGCCATTGCTGAACCTCCTCTGTCCCTCTCTCTCTGTCTCTAGCTCTCTGTCGTCGCTGCAGAGGTCGCGCAGAGGTTGTCGTTGGAGAAGTCGTCAGTCAACGCACGGAGGAGGAGTAAAACAGGGCGTGTCTGAGGGAAGCGCCGTCGAAGGCGGGTCGAATTCGGATATCCGAGAGATGTCTGACGCGAATGTTTCAAATGTTGAAAGTGTAATGCAAATTGGATTCAAGGAAAAAATTTAAATGAATAATCGCGCAAATAGTTCCCGAATTCTGATCCAACGTGTGATGTCGCTCTAGATTATACGAAAATGTTTAAAAGTTTATTGATCGCATTCAACGTCGAACCGAAGTTCAGGAATTGTATTGAACAAATTAGAATTTCTAGGATGACATTAGAAATTGGATCTAGATTCAGGGACCATATCGAACGAATTAAAAATTTAGAAACGGCATTGCACGTTAGACTGAAATTGAGGGATCATCTGTGTCATTTTTCCAAGATAGAACGGGATAGAGCTATACTTATTACTTATTGATGAACATTTACTGACTCGGGCTATGCTAAATGAGGCGGCGAGTGATATGGGGCGTTTGCCGTATAGGGGAGCGTTTGGGAGAGCATTTTCAAAGTCTTTATGGGCTCCAAAGGCCGTCTCAAAGGCTCTTGAGTCAAAGTCGAGCATTTCGAAAGTCCTTTTAATTCGGCGTAACTCCTACTCAACACTAGTTCTGAGCACGCTAAACATCGCTCGCGAAAAGTACAAAATGACCCCTTCATCACTAGACTAAACATCCTGGTGAGTGGTTTATGGATAGATATGAATTGTTAAGTTTTATTGTGATTATACGAAGAGTAGGTTTGGAAGGAATTAAAAAACACATGAGGCAATTTCAATTTGGTGTTTTGGCTTAACATATGGAGGATGTAATGTTGTGGAATTTTGGTAATTGCTCTCTTAGATGGAACTGCATTAAGTCGTTACTAGCATGACGCACGTACTAACCATCAAAGTATATCATTCATTTTGCAATCCTAATCATCAAAAAATCGATTGTCGCTAATCCTTCGAGTACTTAAAGTTTCGGATTCGCTAGCTGTAATTTGAGCTTCGCCGAGGAAGGTGCCGTCATGAAGATATCAAAAAGAAAATGAGCATGCTTTCAAGTCGAAGTATCGCATTTTACTCATTTTAATGTGCGATAAGCACAAACTTACTATGTAAGTTGTAATCTTAGATCAGACCCTTCTAATTTATAGAGAGGGAAATGGAGGATCGCTGAATGATTCTAGGGCAGCTTGGATGTCTGAGCTTCAAAAGTTTTCTAAAAGATCGAAACATGCTCACCTATAATAGATCTCTACATCTTTAGTTGATCATGTCCCGGGCAGCCCGTCTGGCCTAAACTACAAATGGGCGAGCTTGAGTAAGGGTCTCATGTAAAATAGTTCGGCTTCTTCCACTTTTGGTCGGTAAGAATTTGATAAAGATAGATACGAAGGTCCGAGATTTGTGAATTTTAGCATATCATTAGGAAGAAAATCACGCCGTATTAGGGCAATCCAGTCCAGGTTAGTCCCATCCCTTTGTACGATGATGTATTTGATGCTCTTCTACGAATCCTCAATCAATTCATTCGAGAAATCTCTCGATCAAATAACACGAGGGGAATTTCAGAGTGGGGGAGAGCGCTTTGTGCACGTTACCAAGTTAGATGCCATCATATAAATATCCACATCATGGCCTACATGACAAATGGGTAAGGCACCTCATTTCTCAAAGATCAGCTGTGATGTTGAGTCCATGCCAAAGTCAAAAATATGAGGGGAAGAAACAAGCCTCCATCGACCCACCTGCAGCTCCCCAAAGAGAAGGCTCCTTAGATAGAAACTGAGTCAATACCTTGTTGCAAGTTCAACCAGGGTATGATAGAGAGGATTCATGGACGAGGCGGGGCTCTCGAGTTGGGCTTAACTTGTTGTCCAGGACCGCCCATATAGAAAAAGAAGAAGATATGTAACATTTCGCAGGCCAGGCGGGCCGGGCTTTATCCCTATAGGTCCTTGCTTAGGCCTTCCTTATATGGGACATATAAGAAATTCTCTACACGGCTCTCGGATAATTTACTTCTATAGGGTTTATTCTATCCGGTATGCATCGCGCAATTGATTTAGTAACAACACAGTAAACGTTTACCTGTCTGAAATCTACAATAGATTATGTAAAAGTGACTATTGGGCTCATTTAATGGGTTTTAGAAACTTTAGGAAATAAGAAAACTGTAGGGCTTTTTCGTATTATGTGAAGGGTCTTGTTAACGAGTATCTTTGAAGACTTGTTTATCATATTCAATTAAGAAAATTTCGAACTTTTTTATGCATCAATTACACACGAAAAAAAAAAAAACGAGAGGGACTGTAGATTAGAATAAGGATTCCAACTTTGGGCCCAACTATAGAGGTTGTTGATATGGGAATACGAGAAAAACCAGGTTGTGGGCGAATCCATTCAAAGATCCTAATCCAATTGAGAGACAAAGAAGCACGCTTTGCTCCACCATTCATGCTTCTCTAACTCAGAAGTCAGCAGGAAACCTAGAGCAAGAGATTCTTTGATACAGATTCAAAGTCACCCAATTTTCAACATCAGTCCTCGAATTCATCATGCTCAAGAACCCTAGAGCTCACTCAACTTTATTAGTAGATCTAAAGAACAAAGGAAACAAGGATGATCATGTTGGTGCTTGGTTTCCTTGTAACCCGCAATGACATGACATTTTGCAGCCGCTTTGTTGCCGGGTTGGGGTTACATAATACTACTTGTGAAGCCATCTTTTCGCACAAGTTATGATCACAAAAGCTAAAAATCTACAATTATTGTACCATCTTTCCTTTTAGCTGCGCATTCTAATTTCCATCTCCTAATTTGAAAAGTTACATTTGAATTCCACTTCAATCCAAAGAATATAACAAAAGAGGGGGAAAGAGTCCTAACTTACATCAAGTAGTTTCTTGCGAATCTTTTCATCGTGATAAGATTATGCCTTGTTCTTTACTAAATTCATATAGCGAAAACACATTGCACAGTGAACTCATTCCTTTGGTGATATGCCGGGCGAATCTGATCGCTATTTAAAAAAGTGTATGAGAACCGATCTCATTGCATTTCAAGGTCCGTTTGTTCGGAAAGAAAAAAAAACAGTTTTCGGGAAATTATTTTCCGACTTTCCGATGCTTGGATGACAGAAAACTAATCGATTTACGGAAAACGTTGTCCCTGGACCGAAAACAATTAGCTTAGATTGAGGGAAAACGGCTTCCCCTTTCCGACAAGAAAGAAATCACTTTCTCTAAACAATCAAACAAACAAGAACTAATAATTTTCTTTGAAAACGATTTTCATGGAAAATAATTTTCCTCCGCCACGAAATTTTCAGTAAGCCAAACGCACCCCTCTTGTGCTACCGAGTTGGTCTGGTTGGATGACCTTGTTTCGACACCAACCGCGCCCAAAAGAAAAAGAAGAGTCCCGAGTGTCTCACGAAAATCGAGACGATATACTTCAGATGTTGAAAAGGGGGGTGAAAGAGGCAGGGGCATTAAACCAAGGATAGGTGGTAGGCCTGGACATTTGTGGGGGAAAGGAAGGTGCTTCCAAAGGTTGGTTGAGGAGGCATTAGAGGTGTGGAGCGTGAAGTTACACCGAACGTTGCCTTCTTGTTGTGAAGACAGCTTTGTTCCATGGGCATGAAAGAGAAGGCCACAAAACAGATCGTGGCCCTACTTCCTTCAAAGTTGGTGGGCGATCCCACCCACGTAGGTAGCTCGCACGTACGTGTGTGTGTGTGTGCGTGCTTGTGTGCCCCTGGGGAGAGGAAGCACATCGAGGTACACATATCCGTCCTTCCTCCACATCCGTAACGTGACGTTCGAAACCGAAATTTTGTATTTCAAAAAGCCGTGAGATCTCCGGGGTTCAATTCTTACTCGGCTCGACCGCCTGAGGCCGGACACAGAAGAAGGAAGTAATTTATTGTGAATTTCCTTACTCTTAACGTGTGGATGGCCCGTCTTTGACCGGACCTGAGAGGCGAACCTAATTCGATCACCAAAAGCCGATTTGCGATACGGCCTGATCTCTTAGAAAAGATGTTCGGGATAATATCGTTTAAATGTTGAGAAATTTCAAGACCGCTCCTTATACCGAGTCCAATCTTTACCCACGAACTTTGCGTACACCATTGATTCGAGTGGTGATCTTGATATTTGTATTATGATGAGGTACGGAAGCACAAGGCATTGCCCAAAGTGCTAACAAAGGGATCACCTATTTTTTACAAGGTTATGCATTTGATTCCTATCGTGTGAGAACTTCTAAATAGCTAATGCTAGTTGCGTAACGACATATCTCGCATGGAGATGTTTCTTGATTGCAGCATCTTGGTGTGGCTACGGCGACAAGCTCGCCAAATTCGAATCCTCGGATCGTGTTTGGGTGTGATTCATATTCCCTATCGATAAGAATATACGGGAGTCCTACTCCCCAGTGAGCAAGCAGGGGGTCTAGGGGGCTGTCCTGGCGAGGGTCGCTACCCCCTGAACTCTAGAGAGCTTTTATAATTTAGGCATGTATTGTAATAGTAGTTTAGATTTGGGCTCATGAATAGCTACCGAATATATCTATAATCTCAGCATTCTCTGTTGGAAGCAACCTTAGTTTAAAGATGAACAAGATAAACCCTGTGTCTCGATTTCTTTTTCTCACTTTTACTTTTTATTTCATTGTGTTTATGCACCTAATCTTATCAAGTCGCGAATAGTTCAAAATAGTTATGGCTCAAATCGAATGCTTTGTAACGGGCACGAAGCCCTTGTGGTAATGTCACGAGGGATTGCTAGCGTTGTTCGCCCTTTCCATCACGTGAAGTTTATCCCAAAAACGAAAAAACAAAAAAAAAATTACCGCCGACTGTTTTGCACGTTGTTTTCTTTGTCGAGGACGTGACAATGTCAAATCAAAGCTTAGTTTTTGCCGGACCCCTTTTGGATGCGTGGTCCAGTCCAGCAAAGTCGATCAAGGAGCTGACAAACCCCCCGATCTTGATTCCCTTTGGTCAATCGTTTTCACTGAAACTTAAGTTCCAAGAATGTGGACATAAACCATAATTTTAGGAAAAAACCTTGCATCACAC